CCGGTGACTTAGTGTTATACTACAAATCGTTCGTGATTTATGTTGTGTTATACGAGGGGCTGGGCTTTGACCAGTCGCGTTGCAAAGGTGTCATACTCTGGACTGCCGCTCACACAAACAAGGGGCTAGTACTTAGCGCCACCAATGGACTCTTATGGCTAAGTGAAAGTACTAAAGCTGCATAGTCTGATTGCCTAGTTCACTTTGCAAGACGCCTCCTACATCGGACCAAGACGTTGGATAAAGTGCGGTCATGCGTTCCCAAACACCCCTATAATATTTACGTGGGGGCAGAAGCCGACGACTGGTAAACTTTCAGACTTATAAACGGCCAAATAGGAGGATAAACTAATTATAACACGCAAGCATAAATATTTTACACCATGAGTTCTTTACATGAATCTAACAAACCAGACTCCACTAATCAAATATGATGTCCTTAGAGCACTGGCCCTCTACAATGCGGGCTCCCTCGAGGACCTCACCGAAGTACTTCTTCGGCCGCCGGTGATACTTTCCTTCAGGCGGCCCTGCGGTGGCAATCTCGGTGGCCTTCATCTTTGCCCATTGTACTTTGACTCGGGCGAAGGCCATCCGGGCACCTTCTATACAGGTTGACCGCTTCATGGCGTCTACCCGAGGGCACGCCTGGACCAGTCGCTTCACAAGTCTGAAGTAGCTGCTGGGTATGGCCTCGGATGGCCAAAGACAGACTAGCACGTCCTTCATGGCCAGTCCGGCCACCCTGTGCAGCTCCGTCAGCTGCTTCAGCTGATCCCTGAGGGGCGCCGGATACTCTGGCGCAAGGTATTGTGACCAGAATAGATTCTCCGTGGAACTCCCCGCTTCAGCGTGGAAGAACTCGGCGGCGTCAGCAATGCTCCTCGGCAGATCCGCAAATGCGCGTGGAGAACTCCAAACCCGGGTCAGCAAAATATATCTCTTCCTTGTAAATTTACTCTGCGTGAGAAAGGCCTTACCAACCGCTAACTGCCTCACCTCTTGGATCTCCTGGCGAGCGCCCTGGGCTTCAACATGGGCTTCTTTCGCGCTTTCTAGCGCTTTGGTGAGCTCGGAGGCCTGTTCTGAACTCTTTTGCTCCAAGGACTCGCACTTGGTGATGGCGTCCTTGAGCTCCTGTTCGACCTCCCCCACCTGCGCCTCATGTCTTTGGCGGGTGGTTTGTGTTGGGGAACGTTGCAGAAAATTAAAAAAATTCCTACGGTTTCACCAAGATCCATCTATGAGTTCATCTAAGCAACGAGTCATGGGAGAGAGATTGCATCTACATACCACTTGTAGATCGTGTGCGGAAGCGTTCAAGGGAATGGTGATGATGGAGTCGTACTCGTCGTGATTCAAATCACCGATGACCAAGTGCTGAACGGACAGCACCTCCGCGTTCAACACACGTACGGTACGGACGGCGTCTCCTCCTTCTTGATCCAGCAAGGAGGAAGGAGAGGTTGAAGAAGAAGGGTCCAGCAGTAGCACGACGGCGTGATGATGGTGGAGAGGTAGTACTCCGATAGGGCTTCGCCAAGCGCTCAACGGAGGAGGAGAGGTGTTGGGGAGGGGAGGGGCTGCACCTTGGATCAGGTGTTCAGCCCTCCCCTCGCCCCTCTATTTATAGGGGAAGGGGGAAGGGGGCCAGCCCCCTCTAGATGAGATCTAGAGGGGGGCGGCGGCCAGGGAGGGGGGCTTGCCCCCCAAGCAAGGGGGTGCGCCCCCTTTAGGGTTCCCCCCCCCCCAACCCTAGGCGCATGGGCCCAAGGGGGGCGCGCCCAGCCCTCCAGGGGCTGGTTCCCTGCCCCACGCGGCCCATGAGGCCCTCCGAGAGGGGTGGCCCCTCCCGGTGGACCCTTGGAACCCTTCCGGTGGCCCCGGTACAATACCGATATGCCCCCGAAACTTTCCGGTGTCCGTATGACAACTTCCCATATATAAATCTTCACCTCTGGACCATTCCGGAACTCCTCGTGACGTCCGGGATCTCATCCGGGACTCCAAACAACATTCGGTAATCACATACAAGTCTTCCTAATAACCCTAGCGTCACCGAACCTTAAGTGTGTAGACCCTACGGGTTCGGGAGACACGCAGACATGACCGAGACGGCTCTCCGGTCAATAACCAACAGCGGGATCTGGATACCCATGTTGGCTCCCACATGCTCCTCGATGATGTCATCGGATGAACCACGATGTCGAGGATTCAATCAACCCCGTATGCAATTCCCTTTGTCAGACGGCATGTTACTTGCCCGAGACTCGATCGTCGGTATCCCAATACCTCATTCAGTCTCGTTACCGGCAAGTCACTTTACTCGTACCGTAATGCATGATCCCGTGACCAGACACTTGGTCACTCTGAGCTCATTATGATGATGCACTACCGAGTGGGCCTAGTGATATCTTTCCATCATACGGAGTGACAAATCCCAGTCTCGATCCGTGTCAACCCAACAGACACTTTCGGAGATACCTGTAGTGCACCTTTATAGTCACCCAGTTACGTTGTGACGTTTGGTACACCCAAAGCTCTCCTACGGTATCCGGGAGTTACACGATCTCATGGTCTAAGGAAGAGATACTTGACATTGGAAAAGCTCTAGCAAAACGAACTACACGATCTTGTGCTATGCTTAGGATTGGGTCTTGTCCATCACATCATTCTCCTAATGATGTGATCCCGTTGTCAACGACATCTAATGTCCATAGTCAGGAAACCATGACTATCTGTTGACCAACGAGCTAGTCAACTAGAGGCTTACTAGGGACGTATTGTGGTCTATGTATTCACACGTGTATTACGATTTCCGGATAATACAATTATAGCATGAATAAAAGACAATTATCATGAACAAGGAAATATAATAATAATACTTTTATTATTGCCTCTAGGGCATATTTCCAACAGTTTGCTCCATCTCCAACTCCTTGGCCGCTTTGTCCGCGGCCGCCTTTCTCACCTCCGCCTCCTTCTGGGCGTGCGAGGGCGCTCTTGAGGGACTCGACCTCAGTTGCGCCAACTATGAGTATATTTATAACATTTTTTAGTTAGTTCGAACGACTAACGCACATATAACTTTCGGGTATGTAGTAGTGCTGCATACCTTGGGTTTCATTAAACCGCTTGTTGATGCGGTCGACTTCCTCATCGGATAGCCGAAGCTTCCAATTGAGCTCGGCAATTTATGCGGCCTGGGCAGTAGCAACCAGCATAGAAGCCTGTCAAATAACATATACATCACATTATATACTTGTTTGTGATCCTCTGTTCTGATTGTTCTTTGAATTTGGCTACTATCCGCACATGGGTCAAAAGAAGAAAGAGGACACAGATAGTTTTGATGAAACTGTACTTTGAATCGTTTCTTCTTGGGATAGCATATCTTAGTACGCAAAGGGCACCAAGGGATTTAGGGAGCTTTACTGACAATGAGGAAAAAAACATGCATCAGAAGTATTTGCTAAAAGGAATGTATGATGGGGCAGAAGTAACATGCTATGATTAGTTGTGTTTAAATAAAAGAAACTTCCATGACTTATGCACCATGTTGCATGAGAGGGTTGGTCTTCATGATATTGTCTATGTTTCCGTGGAAGAAAATGTGGCAATGTTCTTGTTGGTAGTTGGCCATGGTATCAAAATGAGGATTCTGCAAGGCACTTACAAGCGCTCCTTATGGACTATTAGTACACACTTTGATGATGTATTAACACCGATTCTATCTCTAACCGGTGAGTTCATTAAGCTTCCCGATCCTTCTACTCAACCACCTGATGATTACAAATGGAAGTGGTTTAGCAATGCACTTGGAGTGCTAGATGGGTGTCATGTTGATGTTTGTGTGCCCGTGTGTGACCAAGAGCAATATAGGAACAGGAAGCAAGCTATCACCACTAACATGCTTGGTGTGGTTGATTGGAACATGAAATTTATGTATGTCTTGCCTGGCTGGGAGGGTTCAGCTTCCGACTCAAGAGTCTTGCGTGATGCAATGAGGTTGATCCACCAAGATGCATTTGCCGTACCACATGGTATGACACTTTCTCTTGGTAATTCATTTCTCCTCTGTAATTGTTAGCTAACTCACTTGCTTGACACACTAGGGAAATAATATTTAGTTGATGCTGGTTACACCAATGGTCCGGGATTTCTTGCTCCATACAGATCGACTCGGTATCACTTAAAAGAGTGGGTATCAAGTCAAAAACAGCTCCAAACTCCCAAAGAGTTGTATAACTTATGTCATTCCCGAGCTAGAAATGTAGTCGAGAGAACATTTGGGTTGTGGAAGAAAAGGTGGCTTTCTTACGTTGTCAACCTTTCTTTGACATAAAGGACCAGGTATGATGTGTCCATATGGTGCTAAGATGCAAACTAAATGGAAAATTCTTATGATGAACAAATATTATTGTAGGTTCGAATTATTAATGCTTGTTGTGTGTTACACAACTTTGCAAGGGATAGACATCACGTGATGGATGATTTTTTGCTGGAGGAAGTGGATAATGAAATAGCCTCTTCTGAAGATGATCATCTACATGATGCTAACTTAATTAGGAGTGTTCAAGTCAGCACTTCATGGACCAACTTTAGAGAGCAGCTATCTAATGACATGTTTGATGAGTACCTCGTGAGACATGCTGAACTAGAGTTGGAGTAGGATGTGTGCGTCAACTAGATAATGGTGTTCTCTTTTGTGCTAGCTAGTTGATATGACTTTGCTAGGATGTGTGGGTCATCACTGCATGGACTTTGCTTATGTGATAGCATAGCTTGCTAATGGTGCCTTTTGGGTATTTGGTACATGGCCCATATTAAGAAAGTAATATAAATTTATGTGTGTGATATTACCTTGTTGTCTTTCTATTTCAATTTACATGCATCTTATGTTGTCTTTGTGTTTGGATATCTGCATGCATTTTCTTGTAGGACCATGGTTGAAGGAGGTGGAAAAATTTGGTAGGAATTATCTCACATGGACAGATGAAATGGACATTCCACTACTGGAGGTCCTTGTTGAGCATCACAACAATGGCGATCATGCCCAAAATGGATGGAAGTCCCATGTCTACAGTGCTATTATAGGTAATGTGCATGAGAAGTGCAATGTGACCATCACAAAGGAAAACATCAATTCAAGGTGCAAAACCTTTGAAAAGCACTATGAGGCCATTAGCAAGATGCTTTCTAAAAGTGGATTTGGGTGGGATTGGGTCAATAACAAGTTGTCAATTGATAGTGAAGATGTGTGGACTAAATATGTTGCGGTAAGAAATTTATCCACTCCACATTTTGATTTTATTCTACATATGTAAGATATACATTTGTTTGACAATTCTCTCTCTCTCTCTCTCTCTCTCTCTCTGTGTGTGTGTGTGTGTGTGTGTGTGTGTGTGCAGGCTAATAAGAAAATAGCTTTTTACAAGAACAAGGTCATTAAGAATTGGTATGCTATCACCACCATCTACTCAAAAGATCATGCCAATGGTGAAGGTGTCGTCACATGCGTCGAAAGTCTTGTGCCACTAGTTGCAGGAGCAACTGAAGACTCTCCTGAACCCCCAACAAAAAAATAGCGAACCGGTGATGCTATCCTCTGCCTACTTGGGGATATGAAAGGGTCATTCCATGATGCTCTGAAGTCACTTGAACCTTTACCTATACCCCAGATTACACCTCCAGCTGAAATCCTTTCAACACTTGAAATGATCCATGATTTGGCTCGTGGAGACATATTGCGGTCTTATGGAAAGCTCATCCTTAGTGAATGTTTGTTCCAAGCTTTGATGGAACTTCCAATGGAGTTCAGGACGGAATGGCTGCTGATATTGAATGAAAAGAACAGCTCTTGATGGATATTATGTATGCATCATGCTGCTTATAATCTGATTTAGTGTGTGTCAGACTTCTAAACTTGTTGTCCTAAAACTTGGAATGCTGCCTCTTCTGTGCAAGACTTCTATAATTTGTTGTTGCCATCCTTATGAGACTTCTCAGTTAATCATGTTATGTTATTGTCAAGATGATAATATATGCTGTTGTTACGTACATCTATTCCCATTTTTTGTGTTTTTTGGGAAGTTGATGTTGTGAAGTTCACCATAATATGATACTGTTTGGTACTGTTACATACAACCTTTTTTTGTATCTTTTTATATTAAATGTTGTCAAGTCCATAATAATGTACTGCTGAAGTACACCACAAGCTTTCTTCATGTTATTTGGACAAGATGTGGCATGTACCATCTTTCATTTTTTTTGCATGCAACTTTTTTGTAATACATCAACTTTCAAATATATGCATGTGTTGCTCAAATTCCATTTTCAAATTTGTATAACAAATTGTGTTCCTGCATTTTTAAATGTCCAATTCCAAACTTTGTGCATCCAAACATGATTTGGCATTGTTCCTTCCTATCAATTCCAAGAGCCCAATACATGAACGGCCAAACACGATGTGTGGCATTGAAGCTCAATATCAATGTCTTGGGATATTTGGCATTGGAGCCAATTCAATACCAAGGTCCTCAATGTCCACCCAAACATAGCGTAAGACAAAACTCATCATGTCTTACAAATTACGAGACTATTGCATCTTCAACGGAGTGGGTTAGTAACGATACTTTTCTCAGTAGAACGCTGGATTGTTTTTCCCTGTCCTAATTCATGGGATCACCGATAATGGGATCCATCGCCCGAAGGTTGTTGGCGGACAACACTACACCTACGGACACGTCTGGATCATGCGGTTCAGATGTATTGTGCCATCCAACACGGGTCCGTATTAGTCCGTTGGGCAGTTCGGATGCACTTTTTCCCACAAACCGGAGACAAAGTGGGGGGCCTTGTGGGCGTCCGCACCGCTGCCACATCCGCGTCTGACCATCCTACCCCAACCAAAACCCTTCTCCTCGCCCACGTGCATTCCCACCCGACACCAGCTGCCCGCATTCATGCCGCTGTAGAGCGGCCACTACGCAATGATGCCGGCCAAGAGCAGATGTGATCTCTCACTGGCGCCGACATTGAAGCGTCACACTGGCCGAGAGAGCCGCCTCCATCGCGTCCCCGGTGTCCACACCTGCTCAAGGTCGCAGCAATGTTTGTTGCATGGGATGGGACGGATATCTACCACATATGTTCAATGCCCGTTTATCCGAATGTCATCACTAAATAAGCTCGTTGGCCAAGGAACCAACTCCGGTGCCACACATTGACGCACCAGGACGCTTGAGCTCACTAGAATCCTCTATTTGAAGGTGAACACACCTAGCTAACTCCACAACACGACACATCATCCTCCTTTTCTCCACATCCACCATAACCGTGAGAAGGAACGCTATGTGTGATAGTCTGTCGCTGGAGATGAAGCACGAGATGGCTGCCTTTGCAGCCGCCTGCCAGTCCTGTCGTGTTAGACGGATCGAGCAGGGCATGCTAGCTAGCTCACCCGAGGTGTCCGGCGATGACCCTATAGGATCTGATGACAACACGGCTTGCAGAGGACCAAATCTACGATGAACACGCAAGCGAGGTGGCCATGGCCGCCATGGCCGCAACAAACCCAAATTTCGTTGTGGAGAAACGGGCGCTCTTCAAGGCAGCGCACGCCGCTTACAAAGCAGAGCCGACGCAGCTAGACACGATGTTGCCTCCAAATGCGCAACCTACGCGTCGCCATCCTACTTTCAAGGGGGCTCACTAGCTAGACGGTGACGGGCCATCCACGTCCATCATCGACCTCACATCCATCGCCGCCGGCGACGGATAGGTTGCAGACTCCTTCGAGGATGAGTAGGGCATGGGAGGTGGCTGGGCATTGTGTCTCAAGTGGGTCGGTCTGTCTCCCGTGTTCTACTCTTACTCGCCGGAGAGTGCACCTCCACTTAACGGATCTTGAACCCCGCCCCGTTCATGGAACGACAGATGCGGAATACAATGAAAGTGGACGACGACCGCTGCCGTACAATAGGTTCCGGGTCGAATCGTTTTTTTATTCTAAATGTAATCAAAATTCACCGTGTTTACGTGAATCTCGTCCGGTTTATATGAAAATATGTTATGTGTGCATGAATTTTGTCTGGCTAGTTGAATCGTTGTTTGAAATGTATGTGGTGCCCCCCAGCATCCGTGTCCACAGACCGATCTCATTTCCGTGGATGAATGCCGGAGCAAATTTACGGATCAGCGTTGGATGCTCTGAAGGGATATGCGCACGTACCTACAACTAGCTCTTTGATTTGCTTCCCGTACTAACCGAACCTTAAATTAATCTCAGGATTTGCCGGCCAAAGCGGCATACGATGACTTCGTCATGCGGTTCCGGTTAAACGGCTACGTTCGGGTTGCGATTGCGAGTTTGCGATGGCGTCGCTGACAGACTTGAGTCGCCATGGCCACAAGATGACAAGATCAATCTTGTATCAGATGAGTTGAATCAATCAGAGATGAGACTGAAGCAAGATGCGGGTGCTGTGTCAGTGTCGTGCATGTCTTCTTCGACATCGCCGCCGTCGCCGTCACCGCTGGCGGTGGTCATGCCCCATGAGGTGCTACCGTACGCTGATGAGCAACAGATGGTCGAGCCATTCATGCCATAGGAAATTTGGGACCAGGGAAAAATTAAATAAATACTCTTTATACCAAACTTTTATACTTACTCATTTTTATTATTTATCATACTTCGATATTAAGGAGTATACATTATATTGTTTAGTTGGTATAGTCAACCATATAATTTAGTTTACATATTTAAACAATATTCTTAGTTATTAATTGATTTAACATAAATTATCTTTATATTTTGGTGACAATTCCTCAAATTATATAGTGCACAAATACATATTTGTATGTATGTGCATATGTTCATCTATAATTTATCTCATTAATTATCATGTTGGAGGTTTTCTAAGGAATAATATCCAACTAATATTTTAAAAATGTTTTCTAGTGCATTATTAGGTGTGCATATTTACAGAACCTTGTAGAGTATAAATTGTATTGTTTGGAAATATTCACAAGTTAGATTCGTTAATAAGTTCAACATATGTATGATACTGACACATCACCGATTACCGATGAATATAAACATATTGCCTATTCAGTTATGCATAAATACAATTAGTTTTTTGGTATACTCGCCTAGATGTTTGGTTTCATCTGGTGTATATAATAGCTCTTGCCAATTTCTAAACAAAAAAATTATCTGCGATTAAACATAGAAATTAGTTTACATGCATTTCATTACGTCCTATAGGATTCTATGAGAGAGAGAGACTAGCATGCTAACTAAGTTCATAGTCACCATCATGTGCACTGTCATCTATCAGATTGGTTGTTAATTTGATGTGATGTAAATTTTCTATTGCAAATTTAGAATTTTATTTTGCACATATGCAATAATATTTTGAACTTAATAATATTTTGGGCCCAGGGCCATCGCCCTCTTTGGCTGACCTATAGGTCGGCCCTAGACTTTGGGAGCCATTGGCTCAACGTACGCTTTGGGGAGCTCCTAATTCAGCACCGGTTGGGAGAACTGGCGCCAGCACTGCTCGTAGCCTCGTAGGTGGGTTGTTTCTACAGTCGGCCCATAATTGTTCGTTTGACCGCTAAAAAGACAGTTTCGTTAAGTGGGAGGACCAGGAGTCTAAAGGAAATATGCCCTAGAGGCAATAACAAAGTTGTTATTTTATATTTTTTTATTCATGATAAAGGTTTATTATTCATTCTATAATTGTATTCAGAAACATAAATACATGTGTGAATACATAAACAAATAACGTGTCCCTAGTAAGCCTCTACTAGAATAGCTCGTTGATCAAAGATGGTTAAGGTTTCCTAACCATGGACATGAGTTTTCATTTCATAACGGGATCACATTATTAGGAGAATGATGTGATGGACAAGACCCATCCATTAGCTTAGCATAAAGATTGTTCAGTTTTATTGCTATTGCTTTCTTCATGTCAAATACATATTCCTTTGACTATAAGATTATGCAACTCCCGGATGCCGGGGGAATACCTTGTGTGCTATCAAATGTCACAACGTAACTGGGTGATCATAAAGATTCTCTATATGTATCTCTGAAGGTGTTTGTTGAGTTGGCATAGATCGAGATTAGGATTTGTCACTCCGAGTATCGGAGAGGTATCTCTGGGCCCTCTCAGTAATACACATCATAAGCTTGCAAGCAAATAACTAAGTAGTTAGTCACAAGGTGATGTATTACGGAATGAGTAAAGAGACTTGCCAATAACAAGATTGAACTGGGTATCAAGATACCGACGATCGAATCTTGGGGAAGTAACATACGATGGACAAAGGGAATTACGTATGTTGTCATAACGGTTCGACCGATAAAGATCTTCGTAGAATATGTAGGAGCCAATATGGGCATCCAGGTTCCGCTATTGGTTATTGACCGGAGAGGTGTCTCGGTCATGTTTACATACTTCTCGAACGCGTAGGGTCCGCATGCTTAACGTTCATTGATGATATAGTGTTATATGAGTTATATGTTTTGGTGACAGAATGTTGTTCGGAGTCCCGGATGAGACCACGGACATGACGA